ATTAAGCCAGACAATATCCTAATCGCCCATGGTGATGATGGTGGCCGTGGGGACAGGTTTATTAAGCTGTCGGACTTTGGCCTGTCTGTTGAGCACAGGTCTGACTCACAGTCACTTACCCTCAATGTGGGCACCGAGAAGTATATGGGACCGGAATTGCGTGTGGGTAAAAATCGGGGTAATTATGGCACCAGTGTTGACATGTATAGTATCGGGGTTGTAATGGAGGATGTTTTTAATTTTGATGTTAACGGGTAAGTAGTTGAGAGAGAGAGAGAGAGAGAGAGAGAGGTTAAAATAATTTTTTCATTTTATTATTTTAGTAAAAAGTATACTTTGGATGAGAAATACAAGAGTATATATGAATTTGCGTTGAATTCACTAAACAATGAGAGCCGTAAACGACCGAAATGTGACAAAATATTGACCAATAAACACAAGTGGGCCCTCAATTACCACGAGGTTAAGGACCTAATTATCGGTCATGTTGATTTAGATATGGATTATGACATAAAAACAGATTTTGTTAATTACTTTCTTAAAACTAAATACATTATAAACGAGAAAATTAATTGATTATTTAATTAAATCCTAAATATACTGTATTCAGAATAAAATTATTATTTTACTTAAATAGTTTTATTTTAATATGTTATACATTAATACAAAGTTCAAGAATATAAAATGCAATCAAAGTGTAAACTACATAATAAAACATTTTACCTGTACCATGTTGACTTGTATCATTTTTATTTAATAAATGTCAGTCTTATTATCATTATGAGATAATTACCTGATTATTTACCCAACAACCTACAAGCATTGTAATTAAATGGTTGAAAAAATGAAATAAACATTTTGTATTGCTCATTGATTTAGCTCTATTACACATGTTTCCGGTAATATTGTTTTGGTTATATAAGTAACACAATTTTTATTTCAGTTAATTAATTAAACTAACATAGTCAACAATGAATAATCCATTGATAAACTACCCTAGTCTACAAGATTTATTTGTGCAAAATGAGCGAATGCTCAAAGATTTTGACCAAAATAGCGTTGAAACCATAGGAAAGGGTACTTTTGGTAAAGTAGTCAAAGCCAGACATGGAGTGGACGAAAAAGTATATGCCGTTAAGATTATTGAAATAAAAGGTATGTAAAATTAGCATAATTATTAAGAATTTAATTTTAAAATTATTTACTATTAATCATGTTAATAATTAACCATTTTCATTAATTGTAACAAGTGCCTTTTATGTAAAATATAAATTAACTTTTTGAAGCCAATAGTTGATTATTGACATTAATTAAACAAGTAAAAAATGATTTTTTATATTACTGTACAGTCTACAATGTTTCTAAAAATAATTATACTAATTATACTCTTAATTATACTCTTATAAATATAATAGTTAAATGTCAAAATTTATAAAAAAAAAACATAATATTTATCATAATGATTTAATAATAAAATTATATTTAATTATAACAACTATAATAATATTAAACTATAAATTGCCAAATAAAAGCATGTAGACTAGAAAATATTTGGCCAAAAATAAAAAATTAATTAAGTTAATGTTTAATCTCATTTATCAATACAATAGGTAATGAAAGTCAAATACGAGAAAAATACGACAAACACATACGCGAGGTAAAAGTGTGGGCCCGTCTCGACGCCGACCACTTTGTACAGTACCGAAGCTCATGGTTGGAGTGTGGCGGACATGACATCACCTCCCGGTGCCCACTGAGCCTCAAACTATACATACAAATGGACTTGTGTTGGTTCACACTCGAGGAAACCATTGAGAAAATGCGGATCCATTTCGGGCGCAAAGACAAGGAGTTGTGGCCAGAGTTGGGCGCATATATGGCCGGCGAGTTGTTGTGGGAAATATTGGAGGCCATCGAATATTTGCACACAATTAAGCCACAGATATTGCACCGGGATATTAAACCTACCAACGTGTTGTTGAAGGGTGGGGGTCCCGGCGCGCGGTTTGTCAAACTGACCGACTTCGGTGAAGCG